CCCCATTCCCCCACCTGGGATGAAGTTTGTTCTTTCCTAGGTAAGCTGTAAGAACGAATTCATTAACCTTTGTGAGCTTGAGACAGCAGGTAATTGGGTGGGTTAATTAACATTATTTTCATCTTTATAAAAAACCCCAAATCTATCAGCCCTTCAATTCTTTCACAATCCATAACTCTTAAACCTCGTTTCTTGCTCAATGAATGATCTTAATTCTAATTAAATGAGCTTTGGTCTTCCAGCACCAGTAGAGATGAAGTGCCACATAAAACATCTGCAGTGTAGCTGTGTCCAAAGTCCAGTTTAACCTAAAAGCTGGCTCCCAGCTGCATCCATGCCTGGCAGGCTTGGGAGAGGCTTCTTGTCACCCCTGGAGCCACCTGAGGGCTTCTCCAGCCCCAGCACCTTATGGGGGGTGCTCACTAAGGGAGTCCCTCAGCCTCTGCCTCCACTGCTCTGCACAGCCAGAACAGGAAAATGCAGAGATGAAGTCAGGAAATTCATTCTGTTGTAAATAATCCAATCTATCCAGGCTGGTGGGGGAGTCACCACCCCTGAAGTGCTCAAAGAAGGAGGAGATTGGCATCTCACAATGTGGTTTGCTGGGTCAGGGGCTGGACCAGAGGGGCTTGGAGAGCTTTTCCCACCCCCAATGGCTCTGTGATTTCAGTGACAGCAGGAGCCAGGCAGCAAAGCTCCAGGTTTCACTACCCCGGCCAGCAGAAGAGTGTGTCCAGCCCCATTTCCCTGCTCAGCTGAGTGTCCCTCAGCCCCAGGGCTGCTCAATATTCATTCATGTGGCTCCTGGGTGAGACCCAGGGGCAGGAGAACATTTCATTGTTTTCCTGAAGCCATCAGTACCTCACACCTGTAGTTACAAATCCTGGGGCTGCCCCTGAAGCACCATCAGCACATGGAACCATCAATCTCCCTGATTTCAGCAGCTTTTTGACCAAAGCTGATGTGACACAACCAAACCAGGTCAGGCAGGAGGAGCTGCTGGCTCTGGGTTCACACCAGTGAAACACTGAGGCTTCAGCCCTCAATGAACCCCAAAGCAGCTCATGTTCTTTCAGTGGGAAATAAATCATCCCTGAAGATGCTAAAACGCTGGATCCCACCATGGGGTACCCCAAGACCAGCCCATCCATCTGCTGTTTCACAGCATCTCCAAAGATCTCACTTGGATTTCCCACAGGACCCTGAAAACATCACCTTTCTTCCATTTTTCATGGCCTCACAGGTTTTCTGGACCCTCAACAAACTCTGATCAATGCCTGTCATTAATAACTGCATAAATCCTGGCTACATCTGCACAGCAAAGCCCATGCAGGCATGGACTGCAGACACAGATCCCCTCCTAACACACCAGCACCAGGAAATCCCACCAGCTCTGCAGGAGCTCGCTCTGGTGGAGACCAGCATCTCTGTGATGACCATTTCAAATGGCATTTTCTGTCTGTCTCTTCTGGGAGAGCTAATTCAGACATGATCCATTACCCTGTAATCACAAGTTTATTTCCTGCACAGAGGTTTGCAGAGTCTGGCAAGGAAAGCCTGGCTGTGAAACCAGGCCCAGCTAATGCTGAGACTGGGGGGATCTTTGGTGTATCAGCATTTTAAATGCTAAGGTGACAAAAATACAACAGCAGATGTATTGCAGACCCAGGTATTACAGCAGATTGCTCCCAGGGATTAAGGGAGGCTATTTCTTGCAGGATATTACTGGATAAAGCAGGAGCCTGGAGCCAGTTTGAGACTGGGCCATATTTTAGATGAATTTCATTTCAAAGTGGCCATCAGCTCTCTGCTTGGATAATCATATCTGGGAATTAGCCATGAGAGAAAATTGCCCCAAAACATTCCCATATTCTGTCTCCAGTCGCCCCTGAATGTATTTGGTCACTTGTGGGCTCACAGGGCTGGAGCAGCTCTGGTGGGCAGGGAATTCCTCCTGGGGCTGCCACAGTCCCCATGCACCAAGAGTAAACCCAAGAATAGGGAATAAACTGCTTTACTTCACTCCCACCTTTTTATCCTAAAATATCTCTTAAAAGCTAATGTACCTCTGTATGCTATAATTTCCAAATTTCCTCTAATCCCATGCATAATTACACGGAGCACTGCACTGCTACCCCTTCCATGCAAACATTGCTACAAAGTGCAGGATTTTCAGAGCATTATGTGACAAAGAAATAACTGCAGTCATTATTTCTGGTCTGTGTGTGGGTACACAATGGGACAGCACGTGTCATTAGCTTCCTGTTGGGGACACTGCCCATTTATCTTCCTCCTAATCCTCCCTCAGTGCCTGCTAACAATGTTATTGCAGTGGTTTAATATTAAACATGGCTGGGAGGTCCCTGGCTCTCAGGGCTGTGTCCTTCTCCTCAGCAGCAGAATCCACATTTCAGATGCCTTTAACAGAGTCCAGGTGTTTCCAGAACCCTGCTCTGATCTCTTTTTCATGTTCCTTCCACTCAGCAGTGCTCAGATCCCTGGGATTCCCTGGCTGTGGATGCCAAGGGGGCAATGGGGCATCCCCTGCTCCCAGGCTGTCTCCAGAAGGGATGTAAGGGGTGCACAAAGGTTATAGGAAGCTCAAATAAAAACCTCTCCCAGCTCCTCCTGCCAGTAACTGCAATCAGCTGAAATGCAGAATGTGATGCTCAATGTCCTGCCCAGATTTTAGCACCATCCCTACATTTTTTAAAGATAAAATAAGTACCAGAACAACCTAACAGGACCTGCTGGCCAGCAGAAGCCAACTCCCAGAGCAAACACTTCATTTCTACAGCTGCAGATCAGCAGCAGATCCACCCCAGGCAGCACCTCTGGCTCTCAGCACCAAAGCAAGGAAAAGAAATGTGCTGAGATGTGGAGCTGTGTGGAAATGTCCAACATCCCTGTGAGCCCATTTACTCCTGGCTCAATGGGAACCCCTAAACTGGTTCATACTGGGGAGCCTTGGGAAAGACATCCCAAAGAACCAAGATCCTCCAGGTGTAGGTCCTGAGCTCCCCACTCCATCTCTTCATGATCACCCAACCCTCCAGCCCCCCACAGGAGTTTCCTCAGCTCAGAAACTCCTCAGCTCACCACTCTCTGCCTTCTCCTCTCCCCTGCCATCAAACACCTGCCAAAAACCAGCCAAACCTCATCTCCCCTGCCATCAAACACCTTCCAAAAACCAGCCAAACCTCATCTCCCCTGCCATCAAACACCTTCCAAAAACCAGCCAAACCTCATCTCCCCTGCCATCAAACACTTTCTCCAAACCAAAGCTGTCTCTCCCCACGTGGCTCTGCCCCAGCTTGTCCTTAACCACCCCCAAGAGCTCTGACACAGCCTCAAACCCGATTCTGTGAGCACAACAGAGCAGAAGGTGTTGCCACATCTTTAAATGTCATACTGGGGGCTCCAGTTTCCTCAATCACCTCAAGTGCCAGGTTTTGAAGCCCAGCAAGCTCCCAGGGTGGTGTCACAACCACAAGGGACACTCTGTGCCAAAGCTTTCCTGTACCTCCCAACTGCACCACTTTAATAACAGAGCTTGCTCTTTCTTGACTTTTATATTTACTGACTGAGAAAGGTTTATCCCAGCAGTGTTGATCCACTTTTATCACCCTCCAGAGGCTCCAGCAGGAGCTGCTCACACCCCACCTGTAAGGGCTTCTGGATTCCTCAGCTTTGCCTTCTGCACGGCCCAGCCCTCCTTTAACAAGGCCAGCAGCCTGAATTTGGTTAAAATAACTGTTTATTTGTCAAAGCTCTGACTCCTGTCCAGAATAAACTGACTCCAAACTAAACTAATTCCTCCACTGAGGGCTGAATGTGCTGCCTGGGACAAGGCAGCCAAAGGAATAACAAGAAGTCTCTGTGTGAATGGGAATAGACCTAATTTCAGCTTGCAGGGATTATGTCAGTGACCAAAGCAGAGCTGTTTGGGTTCAGGATTCCCAGCAGGCAGGGCTCTGTGCCTGAGGACAAGGCTGCTCCAAACAAAGCACATCAGGATCCAGGTGGATCCAACCCACCTGGCCAGATACTATTCCTGTCAGAGCAGCACTTGGGATATTTGGGGGCTGTGAAGGGAAAACATCTGAGCTGTGCACACAGAGCAGCCCCAGCTCCCACCCACAGCCAGCTCTTCCCTCTCCTCCTGCTCTTGTTTTGGGCTCATCCCACCTCTGAAGCCTGGCAGGGCTGGAGCACATTTCAGAGCTGCCAACCCTTCAGCTGGAGTGTTACAACAGCCTGAGACACATTTTTCCAAAGCTTGCCCTGGGAGGAGAGGGACTTTTCATTCAGGAAAACACAGTGCTGTGTTTCATGGGTCCACACTCAATCCATCACATGGCAATAACATCCTCATTCCTCATGGTTTGCACAAACTGAACACTGGAACTAAGGCAAAGCCACTTTGTCACCTGCACTTCAACACAAGCCTGGACAAATCTGCACAGCTTTTGCACCTCCCCAGGGGGTTTGATACCAACACCCTTTTCCAAATCCCTGCACCCTTCCAAACCCTCCCTGGCTCATGTCACACAGCTGGTGAGGGTTATGACATTGTCCCTACCTCTCCAAGGTGGCTTCCTCACTTCATCTTCCTGCATTTTTATAGAACCATGGAATGGCTTGGGTGGGAAGGGACCTCAAATCCCATCCAGTGCCACCCCTGCCATGGGCAGGGACACCTTCCACTGTCCCAGGCTGCTCCAAGCCCCAGTGCCCAGCCTGGCCTTGGGCACTGCCAGGGATCCAGGGGCAGCCACAGCTGCTCTGGGCACCCTGTGCCAGGGCCTGCCCACCCTCACAGGAACAATTCCTGCCCAATATCAAACTGCTCTGTCTGAAGCCATTCCCCTTTCCCCTGTCACTGCAGGGTGCTTGTGTCACTCCCCAGCTCTCCCACAGGTCCCCACAGCAGCTGGATGTGTCCCCAGCTCTGGTCACTGTGTCCCAGCCCTGGTCACTGTGTCCCAGCCTGGCCGTACCTGATGGGCAGGGAGGGGTCCCCAGCGTCCCACCAGTCCTTGGGGGGGCTGATGTACATGCACCACAGCTCCCAGCTGTAGCCATGAGCTGAGTTCTCGTAGCGTTGCACCTCGAAGTTGTCCTGCTTGATGTTGTCGATGGAGGGCAGGATCACCCTCTTCCTGTTCTCCTGGATCCGGGACAGCACCGGCTCTGCCCTGGGGGAAAGCAGAGGGGGTCAGTTCACCGCAGCTTCATTCCACCCCTCCCAATATCCCACCCAGCACTGGGAGCCATTCCCTGTGTCCTGTCCCTCCATCCCTCGTCCCCAGTCCCTCTCAGCTCTCCTGGGGGCTCCCTTTGCTACTGGAGTTCACTCAGAGCCTTGTCCTCTCCAGCTGAACAACTCCAACTCTCTCAGCCTGTCCTCAGAGCAGAGGTGCCCCAGCTCTTTGTGTTCCTCCTCTGGACCCACTCCAACAGGTCCATGTTTTCCTTGTGTTGGATAAAAACCTGGCCCACAGGCTGGAAACATTCCCTTCTGTAAAGCAAGGCCAGGAAGGGTGTGCGTGGTTCAAATCACTCTTGAAGCAGCCCAGACTTCCTCCACATCCCAAAACAAGATACATTCTTGAAAGCAGGACCCTTTGAAGGGTCTTTTTTCCCTTGGGATGCAGTTTGATGACTTTATAGCTAAAAAATTCATCTGTGGGACATGTTCAGAGCACGGGGTGTGCTCAGCCTCACCTCTGCAGCTCCAGAGCCACCGAGTGCCCTGGGGTCAGTCTGCCCACACCAGGGGGAATTTGGGGGAACTGGTACTCCCAGTGCCCCCAGTAACAGCAGCAGGTGGGAAAGAGGGAGAGTCAAGCTCACACTGCAGAAATGCCTCCTCTCTATCCCTAAAAAAGAGCTTCTAGAGTTCAGTCAATGGCAGCACCTCAGTGAATCAGGTGTGAGAATTTAGTGACCAGAGAGAGAAATGTTCAGCTGGGAATACAGATCCCAACATAACAAACAGCTCCTAAAATACCCCCTTCAGCTGCATTAAAAATTCAGCTGTCATTAAAAAAGATTCAATAGCTGTGAAGAACTCTGCCTTTAACAGCTGCAAATTGGAGTTTTTTGGTGGTTGTTACTGTGTTCAAGTTCAACACAAGTTTAGCTTCCTTCACCTCCATTTTTCTACACATGGACCATTTACCTTTTACACTTGGTTAAAGGAAAAAAAAGTCCCTTTCAGGCTCCTGTCACGACATAGATTCAAAGTTAAGCCACTTGAGCTCAAATGTTTTGAATCGCTCTGAAAAAAATCCTTATTAAACACCTTTTGCTGCTTCTGCACCTCTGCTCTTATTCCCAGCAGCTGAGGAAACAAATCAATCCAAAGCATCTTCCCCTCTGGGATCCAGAAAAGGGCACAGAAGTGGGAAACACTTTCTGCTTCATTCCCTTGCTGCCTGGGCTTTTTTTTTAAACTTGCAGGAATTACTTAAGACTAAGGGAATGGGAAATCATCCTGAAAAATATAAACAGGGAGCAGGGAAAGTGCATGCACACAGGGAAGGAATAGAGAAGGATTACAAGGGACAAGGGCAAGGAAAAGTTTTCCATCATGCCATTCAATGCAGAAGGAATCCAGGAGGAATCCTGGAGAAGGACTAACAAGCCAGAGGACTTGTGTGTCGTTCTGTAGGGATGGACATTCCCCTGTCAGTGCCCCCCTGTGTGTGGACACACACATTTAGAGAGCTGGGGAATTCCAGCTTGGGAATTCTTTTCAGGCCTGGATTTCTCCTGACTCTCAGCTCCATTCCCAGGCTGACAAGCTGACTGCAGCTTCAGTTAGGGAGGAGTCTCCCAGGGTGA